GTATGTGCCCTCTCACAGTCTGGGATCCCTTGGGGAATGACCACCTGCTGGCTTAGGCCTGCTCCCTGGGGGGTTGGGCCTAAGCTGGCAGTCAGACATCCCTCTGGCAGCCCGGGAGCCCTCCGGGGATGTCCACTTGCAAGAGGGGAGCAGGCTTAGCGGCAGTCAGACATCCTTAGCACTGCTGAGGAGGCGGGAGAGACTCCCACCACCACCACTGCTGTGCTGGCAGCCATCAGCCAGGCTTGTGGCTGAGCAGAGCTCCCCCTGTGGAAGCACACTGACCACCAGGGGGAAGCTTCTGCATTGAGCGTCTGCCCCCTGGTGGTCAGTGTGTGTCATAGTGACCAGTGATTCCCAGTCGCTCTGCTGTTAGGGTCAATTTGCATATTTCCCTTTTATTATATAGGATAGAGGCCTGGTGCATGGGTAGGGGCCGGCTGGTTTGCCCTGAAGGGTGTCCCGGATCAGGGTGGAGGTCCCACTGGGTGCCTTGCCAGCCTGGGTGAGGGGCTGAGGGCCGTTTTCAGACTGGCCACACCCCCTTCAGGGTGGGATCCCCGCTGGGGTGCCTGGCCAGCCTGGGTGAGGGGCTGAGGGCCATTTTCAGGCTGGCCACACCCCCTTCAGGGTGGGGGGTCCCTGCTGGGGTGCCTGGCCAGCCTGATGAGGGGCTGATGGCTGTCTGCAGGCTGGCCAAGCCCCCCGGCAGGGACCCTCACCCCATGAGGGTGTGGCCATTCTGGGTGAGGGGCTGATGGCTGTTTGCAGGCTGGCCACAGCCCCCAGCCACCCAAGCTCCCAGTGGAGGCTGGCTGGAAGCAGGTATCTGGGATTTATTTAGCTTCTATAATTGAAACTTTGTTGCCTTTTGCAGAGGCCACAGCTGGCCAGAGCAGGCGGCAAGCTTGGCTTCCTCCATCACCGGGGCAACCAAGCCTCCTGCTTGCTCCAGCTCTGTGGCTGCCAGTCGCCATCTTGGTTGGGTTAATTTGCATATAGTCGCTCTGATTGGCTGGCGGGCGTGACTTAAGGTGTAGCAAAGGTACGGTCAGTTTGCATGTTTGTCTTTTATTAGTGTACACTAGAAAATTCATGCACTGGACAGGGAGTCCCTCAGCTGGGCCAGCCCCCTCTCACAGTCTGGGAGCCCTCAGGGGCAGGAGGTGACCTGACAATCAGGGGAAGGCAATGCCCCATCACACCTCTGCTGCTGCCACTGCCGGTAGCGCAAGCCTCTACTGGCCCTGGTTACCTGAGCCATCTGAGGCTTGCCTGTGCCTTGGGCCTGCCCTGGGCAGCTGGGCAGCTGACATCCAAGGTTTTCCTGTGCCTCGGGCCAGCCCTGGGCGGCTGGGCAGCTGACATCTGAGGTTTGCCTGCACCTTGGGCCGGCCCTGGGCGGCTGGAAGCTGAGGGAATGTCTGGCTGTGTCATGCGCCTGCTGCCCACACCCCGCCCCAAGCTGGGCTGAAAGGACTGTGGGACTCCGGCCGCACCATGCACCTGCCATCCCTTCAGCGGGGCTGAAAGGAGTGGGGGACTCTGGCAGGGCTGAGGGGACTGGGCGCCACCATCTTGTGGCTATGGGTGCTGCCATCTTTGTGACAGTGTGATGGTCAATTTGCATATTACCTCTTTATTAGATAAGATACTAGTGGCCTGGTGCACGAATTTATGCACATTGAAAGGAAATTAATTAGAAGAAATGTTTTAATATCACGATTTGCCCTTTCTCTATAATGGAAGTGTCAACCAAATTCACAATTGACAATGACAAATGGAAACACACATGTGAGATTGGCACCAATGAGAGCTTTATATGTACAGTGGGGCCTTGACTTATGATTTTAATTTGATCGGAGACTGAGCTTGTTAAGGAGCTCGTTAACTCAAATTACTCTGTCAACTCAATGCAAAAAATCAGCTGATAGACAGCTGGTATCTCAAAAAACTCGTTAGTCGGGACACTCGTAAATCAAGGCCCCACTGTATTGTGCATGTGTGAGTCAACTTAGCCTTTTATATATATAGAATAAACTTGCTTAATTAGACCTGCTTTCTGATTTAGCTAAACTTTTTCCAGCCCAGTGAAGCACCCCAACTTTTTCAGGTGATTTCAAGGTCCACCATTTCTTACTTCTTTTTAGTTGGGTCAAGTTTCTAAGCTTTCTAAATCTCCATTTTCCAGCTAATGAAAAGAAAATAGAATTCTACTGAGTCTCCTATCTACCTACTCCAGGACTTCTGTGAGGATCAAATGAGATGAGGCATGGGAAAACACTTCACAGACATTTGTTTGAAGGGTAAAATGTTTTCACCTGTGTTCCTGAAACTCCAAGGAGGCTAGTCGCTAGGGAGAGGAAGCCAGGTGTTGCTACATGACATCATTAACCAGCATCCACAGCAACTGTTTCCAGGCTGGGCTGGGCTGTGGGCTGCATTTTGCACCATGGGGTCTAGGCAGTGTCGGCTGCAATTTAGTGGGCTGTCACTCCAGGGTGATGGTGGGGCCTGTGTCCCACTTGGGAGAAGCCAAGTGTTGCTTTCTGGGCGCCAGGTCCGAGGTGCCATTTTTTTCTGTGCACGTCATGGCCGCTCCTGCATTGAGCATCTGCCCCCTGGTGGTCAGTGTGCATCATAGTGACCAGTCGGAAGGTGGGAAGGACACTTAGCATCTCTATATATAAAAGCCTAAGTGACTGGTGGACCGATAGCTATGATGTGCACTGACCACCAGGGGGCATACCTTCAACACAGGTGGTGCCCCCTGGTGGTCATTGTCCTCCCACAGCAGGAGCGCTGTTCAGCTGACCAACAGGTGCCAGAAATGAGGCTCACAGCTGGTGAGCGCTGCTGTGGTGGCACAAGCCTCTCCCACCTTCGTGGCAGCACTACCGAGCAGCAGAAGTGGCAGGCGCAGTGGGACCAGGATCATGCACTACTACATCCCTCGGGGATGTCGGACTGCAGACTGGGCCCAAACCAGCAGTCCGACATCCCCTAAGGTCCTGGATTGCAAGAGAGTGCAGGCCAGGCTGAGGGACCCCCGCCGGTGCATGAATCCGTGCACCAGGCCTTTAGTATATATATATTTCAGAGAGGAAGGGAGAGGGAAAGAGAGAGAAAGATCAATTTTGAGAGGGAATCATTGATTGGATGCCTCCTGCATGCCCCCTACTGGGGTTCGACCCCACAACCCCAGGCATGTGCCTTGACTGGAATCAAACCCAGGACCCTTCAGTCCACAGGCCAATGCTCTATCAACTCAGCCAAATCAGCTAGAGCAGCACAAGACCTTTTTAGGGAACAAAGTCTAGTTTAGGTGGAGCATAGAGCATTTGGTAGTGAGTTGGAGGGGGTGGACTGGAAAGGCAGGTTGTGGCTAGAGCTTTGTAATTATTTTTCCTTTTTTGAATATATTTTTATTGATTTCAGAGAGGAAGGGAGAAGGAGAGAGATTTAGAAACATCAATGATGAGAGAGAATCATTGATTGGCTGCCTTCTGCACGCCCCCTCTTGAGGATCGAGCCTGCAATCCAGGCATGTGCCCTTGACTGGAATCGAACCCAGGACCCTTCAGTCCTCATGCTGACGCTCTGTCCACTGAGCAAAACTGGCCAGGGCATGGCTGGAGCTTTGAATCCAGGCTGAGGACTCTAGGTTGAGGACTCTAACCTTGGTGTCTGCCATAGTAATGGAAAAACCTCTTCCAAAATGGTGGGCTAAGCCATGGGGGCCAGTAGCCTCCAGAAAGCTCCTCTCTATAAGGAAGAAAAAATTGGGGTGGAGTCGGACTCTTATTTTGTTAATCCTTACTGGAGGATATTTTTTCCATTGCTTTATTTCTAGAGAAAGTGGAAGGGATGGAGGAGGGGGAAAGAGAGAGAGAAACATCGACTCGAGAGAGACACATCGATTCATTGCCTCCTGCACCTGTCCCTACTGGGGTTGGGGAACCAGCAGCCCAGGTACCTGACCTTGACTGGGAATTGAAACCATGACCCTTTGGTCTGTGAGCCGAGGCCCCAACCACTGAGAAAAACTGGCCAGGGCTGGAGTTGAACTCTTGATTTTAGGACCAAGTTCATGCTGAGTATGTAACAAAGCTATTTCACTCAAAGTAGCCCTGGGGAGATGATTCTCTCAAGTATAAACATCCATGAGGATGAGCTCTCTTCTGCATGGTTTTTCTGCTAAGAGCTGAATGACCGGAACTGTTTAAAAAACCCTAACCAAGACCTAGCCGGTTTGGCTCAGTGGATAGATCATGGGCCTTTGGACTGAAGGGTCCCAGGATCCATTTTGGTCAAGGGCACAAGCCCGGGTTGCAGGCTCGATCCCCAGTAGGGGGCATGTAGGAGGCAGCCAATCAATGATCCTTTCTCATCATTGATTTTTCTATCTCTCCCTTCCCTTTCCTCTGAAATCAATAAAAATATATTTAAAAATAAATAAATAACCCTAATCAAGAGCTGTCAGAACAGGGGTTGGTATGGCTATGATTTTTCTGGTTTATTACTTTGCCATTAAATCGCATTATAATTGTTGGTGGGTTGTCTAGTGCACTCTAAAGAATATAAGCAAGCACTTCCTTATTTTCTACAAATGTACAACTGCCCTCAACACCTTTACACCACTGCCACCAAGATTGGCTGTGGGGAAATTCATTATTTCGCTGGAAGAGAGATTTGGGGGAGATGTAGGAGATCAGATCTTTGCTGAGCCAATTTTTAAAAATTTTCTTTGCCAGCTACAGTTTCAGACATTTTCATATACACTATCTCATTTGACTCTCACAACACCCTTTGGATGTAAGTACAGTTTTCTCCCTTTTGTAAATGAGGAAATAGGTATTGAGATAGGCTAACTTACCTCAAATCCTGTAGCTAAAAGGAGCTACATTTTAATGCAGGTTGTTTTTTGTCAAATTTTCTTTTTTTGTTTGCCACATTCTCCCCCCCACTTCCCCCTTTTATAGAAAATTAATTGTATTTACCTGGATTTGGGTTGCTAGAGACCACGGACATCAGCATTAATGGCAGCAACAGGAGAAAAGAGATTAGAACTTTCATTGTGACTGTTGGTGCTGCTGTAAATTGCTTGAAGAGGGTATGGAAGGTTCCCACTTAGAGGCTCCGGACTTCTTGGGATGACTCAGGCCACCGTACTTGGCTTGTTGGTTTGTGCTTTAATCCTAGGCCAGTGTTCCCATTTGAGGAGAACAGGTAAGTGACGCTGGCTTTGTTAGGTAACAGGTTGGACCATGTGCTTTACGGGAATCTGGGAGGTAAAACTGGCCAAACAAAAGACATGAAACATTCTTAAGAATTTAAGAAGTAACTGATAACTTGGCAACTATACTTGTTCCCTCCCCTCCTCCCTCCCACCTCCATACCTCTTAATGTGTTATGATTTCTTCCTTAAGTCTTTTTGCTCCTGTGAACTTCCTTATACCTTTCAGAGACTCTACTAGCTTAATATCTGGTAGGAAAGTGAGTATGCAGGGTTGGCAGAAGAGAGGATGACAACGTTTGTTTCTCCTCTGTGTGTTCCCGCTCCCATCCTTGGCACACAATATCACAATAGTGGTGGTGTTGCCTGGGAACTTGTCCTGTCCTCACTGTTTACAATTTCCTCCCATTTATATAAGGTGGGAAGCAGACATGATCAAGGAGGAGAGGCTATACTCTCTTGCCAAAAACCCTGGAGCAGTGGGTCAGACCAGGCCTCCTTGTTGTTGGTCAGGAAGGTGGCTTAGTTACTCCAGTTTAAAGGAGAGGGAGCTGGGTTGATGGAAGACCCTCAGGACTTCAGGTCCAAGAGGGTTTGAGAAACAGGAACCACAGGAGGGAAGGTGTTTGCCCAGACCACTGGAGCTCTTGGCTCCAGACCTTGTTTGGAAATACAAGCAAAACCAGAAGATACTACTACTTAGAGTAAACACTAAGGATTATAGAACATTAGCAGTTACCTTGAGCCATTCCAGAGACTTTAGGAAATGTGCTCAAAGAAAGAGGAGAGGCCAGGGTTGAAGGCTGGTTGATAATTATGGGACCCAGGGAAAGTTAACAAGGAAGCTCCCAGGCATGAGTGAGAAAAGGTAGTGTGACTTTATTTCACTTAAGAGGAGGGAAGAGGCAAGGCATGAGTCAAATCCTTTTTGATTTTTGTTTGATCATCCTTAACGTCTCAATTTTCAGATTATCCCTGCCTGGTTAAGGCTTGGCCTGAGCTTGGTCTGATATAAACTGCTGAAGTGATTTCTCTCTGGAAAATTCTAACAATGGTCTCTGTCCTTAGGAGGCAAAAGTCTAACCAGGGAGATGGCATTCACTTCATAAAACCTGAGATATAAGTGAAACCAAATTTCAGAAGTGGCAGGAATTCACTGTGGCCTGGGTCAGGTGGAACTGGAGCTGGGTCTCAGGGTGGGGTAGGATTTGGGTTGATGGAGGGCAGAGAAGGGCAGTGCAGAGAAGAAACGTGAAGCTAATTGGATATGGGTCTTTGAGGGCAGGGGTGTCATATATAATATAGTGTGTGTGTGTGTGTGTGTGTGTTGCTGAACTTATATGGAGCCTGATACACTGGGAGTACTCTATAAATGTTTGTTGAATTGAGAGATATTTTTGTAACACTTTAACTAGGCCTGATACATTAAAAAGCATGTGAAAGTGCAATCCATTACTAGGAAGAAAATTTTAGTGATGAATGGTTATGCATACACAAGGAAACTGATGGGGGTTCTCTACTTTCTCACTGAATTGTCCATAGGTCCACTCCCAGGCAGCGGCAGGATCAGGGCGCTCCTCAGACCTTCCTCCCTTTCCCCTCAATCTGTTTACCTCTCTGCTTTCCCCATGTCCTGGCTCCCAGTCAGTTCACTCTGGCTGATTTCCCTCTCCATGGACTTGGGGTGGGATGTATGGTCCTATGTTCCACAGGAGGGGGCTTGAGATCCCTCAAGCCCATTGATGTTGACAAGAACACAATGTTGAGATGTTCTAAATCAGTGAGTGGTTCTCAACCTTCTGGCCCTTTAAATACAGTTCCTCATGTTGTGACCCAACCATAAAATTATTTTCGTTGCTACTTCATAACTGTAATGTTGCTACTGTTATGAATCATAATGTAAATATCTGATATGCAGGATGGTCTTAGGCGACCCCTGTGAAAGGGTCGTTCGACCGCCAAAGGGGTCGCAACCCATAGGTTGAGAACCGCTGTTCTAAATAAAAATTACAGCAGCCAGAGAGTAAGAGAGAGAGACTGAACAGTTAGCCTGTTAATAGCTGTGTACCAGCTCTGACAAAAGACTGATCACATTTCTGTACGTCTATTGGAATTTGGGATTAATCTGCAGGTGACTATTTCTAAGATTATATAAAAGAGAGAATAGCCAGCACCATAGAGCCTCAGGGCCTCTGCTTATTTGCATATGAATTTTTCAATCTGCTGCCCAGAGCCAATCCACAAGAGCAGACATTTCTTTCTTTCTTTTTTTTTTTTTAAATATATTTTATTGATTTCTTACAGAGAGGAAGGGAGAGAGATAGAGAGTTAGAAACATCGATCAGCTGCCTCCTGCACACCCCCTGGGGATGTGCCCGCAACCCAGGTACATGCTCTTGACCGGAATCGAACCTGGGACCTTTCAGTCCGCAGGCCGACGCTCTATCCACTGAGCCAAACCGGTTTTGGCATTTCTTTCTTTCTTTCTTAAATATATTTTTATTGATTTCAGAGAGGAAGGGAGAAGGAGAGAATGATAGAAACATAAATGATGAGAGAGAATCACCGATCGGCTGCCTCCTGCACGCCCCCACAGTGGGGATCGAGCCCGCAACCCGGGACCCCTCAGTCCGCAGGCCGACACTCTATCCCACTAAGCCAAACCAGCCAGGGCCAGACATTTCTTTCTTGCAGACCCTGCCGAGCCTACCCCAGAACTAGTCCTTCCCTTTGTAGCTAATGTAAATCTTTACATCTTTCTTCTTCCTTCTTGGTGTATAAAAATGCTAGGGGAGGGTCAAGGGGAGGAAAAAAAAAAGGAGACGTATATAATACTCTTTGTAATACTTTAAGCAATAAAACAATTAAAAAAAAAATGCTTGCAGAACTCAGGGATGGACATGATGTCTTTTTAAAACTACCTGCTGGTGGTTTAGATTCCATGGCTCAAAACCAGTTTCCTCTTCTTTCTCCTTCTCTTCTTCCTTCCCTGCAAGCAATGGCAAACCCTCTCTTTAAAATAAGATAATAAAACTTTCAGCCATGTGTGGACGAAAGGGGCCACATGCTGACCTGACAAGCTCAGGGGAGGCCTGCATGGCAGTCTTGCAAACTCAGAGACCTAAAGTAACCACAAAGGATGGTCTGAAATTAAACTTTAACTAAAAGCAGTTATGGTGGGCAGTTAAGTCCTAGGCCAGTATCTTCACTGAAAAGGTCAACCTTTACCTTATCTGAGCCTATCTGTCTTTTTGCATCTATGATAACATACTCTTGAAATGTCTGCGTAACTTGTAACTTCCCTTTTTCTGGAGCCCCTGGGGCACAACCAAATGTGCTGGGTGCCAGGACAGATGCCACAAATTCCTTCATTATCATGTTAATTGATCCTGCACCCACCTAAGTATGTGTCCATCATTTTACTTTTTATCCAATCCCAGGAGTTTCCCTGCTTTGCTTTATCCCTCCTCCTTAATCTATCACCAATGAATTTCATGTAACCCACCTATGTTCCTCCTTTGATTGCAAATCTATAAATACAAATGTAACCCCGCCATTCTCCGGAGCATTATCTCTATTCGTTGAGGTTCTGCTTCCCAGCATATGTCAACAGTTTGACTCAAATAAACTCACAAAAATTCTTTACAGGTTTCAATGGGTTTTTTTACATTAACACATGGAATTTAAAGTATTTTTCTTGTTTGTTTCACAATATAAAACACACCTAAGACAAAGTTCTCTTGTTAATATTGACAACTACTTAGAGCCCATCTCCAGAACATTGTGTCAACACAGTCTGATTTACAAAGGCCTCCCTCCAGGAAGGAGAGAAGGGGAAAGTGGGGGAAAAATACCATTCTGCCACGGTTATTTGGTTTTCCCCCTCTACAGTGTACTTAGTAAACATTTGGAAATATTTGTTGATTGAGTCCATTACTCATGTTGCTCTAGTAACAATCATTTATTCATACATACATTCAGGGAACATGAGTGCCCAGTGTTTTTCAGGTGGTGGCTACCAAAGGAAGAAGGTGTGATACTGCCTCTGAGGAGTTCTCACAATACACATACACCCATGGACAGCTAATCCAACAGCTCCATTTTAAAGAAATGGAAGTTAAAGTGCAGGGAACTGTGGAAGGCCCCCTGCCAGGGAAGGCGCTGGCTTTCTTTTAAATTCATGTCAACTGAACCCATGATGAAGGCAGAGCCTTATCTTGGGGGCATATTTAACCAAGAGGTGGGAATGCCTCAGTTGCCCTTCAAAACCAGGTGCCAGGAAATGGGTTCTCTTTTAAATCTAGTCAAGCACCAGGAATGAATGTGATTCGGACCCATCCGGAAGTGACTATTTAGGAGGAAGCTACAAGAATGCACACATTCCCCCTTCTATTTACCCTTAGTAAAACTTCCTAGTATTTGGCTATAAATAAAAGTTGCTGCGCTGGCTCTGGGCCCTGTTCATCTATCAGAGAGCAGACGCCACACCTGGTCCCAGCTTTCCTCTATTTCTGTCTCAGTCTTGTTTTATTCATTTTTCCTTAAAACCTCATCGCGTTCTATTCAAGATTTCATCGACCCCCGAGTTCTCTCTCTCTGCGCTGGTCGCAAGAAGAGAGAAGGCCATTTCTCCCATATCTGACGCCACGAACAGGGATCCCCATATGGAACAAGATAGGATTTGTTCAATATCACAGGCTAGCATCAGTTAGCCTCAAAGCAACAGGACAAACTCATTTCCTGACTTGCTAGAATTTCTGTTCGTGTGCAGCTGCCTGGCTTCTGCATGTGCAAATGTGGTGAACTCTAACAGGAGAGAGGGGACATTCAGAATGAGGTGGCAGCCCACAAACACCTTGGAGGAGCCAGAAGGAAACGTCCAATCCAACCACGACTGCAAAAAGCACCATCGGGGAATTTGTATTCTTTATTCCCCTTTGAGCTTGAAATGAGGAAAAGTGAGCCCAGAAAACCCAAAATGGACATTTTCACAGAGGTTTATCAGATGGGCCAAAAAGCCTGTGTTTACCCCTATCA